TATCCAGGCACGCTGGGGATCGCGGCCCCCATCCAGTTTCAGCTGGAGAGAGGCTGAAAGTCTTTTCATCTGTTAATGGGAGGCTTCAGAGGAGTAATTTTATTTCAGACTCAAAGAGGAGTCGGTGGAGGGAGGAGCAGGTCACTAGTGAATGGATTATGTTTGATCACTTCTCACAGACCTGGCTTTAAAAAGTTAGAGGTTTTCTTTCCCATCTCCCCAGATCTGCCGTCTGTCCTCAGCATCTGTTCCCAAGTAATGGCTTTTGATGTGTGTGGGGAAATATAAAAAATGGAACCAGAGCCTGTCATATTTACTTATATTTCCAGGTCCCAGGGAAAGCACTTGCTCCTTTCAGTATGCCTCCAGCATAGGAAGGGTTTAAAAGCTTCAGCCTGGAATGCAGAGGGGCCATCAAACTGTGCTGATGAATAAATGATTAAAACCAGAGTCGCACAGAGCGCAAACAGTTTGGGGTTACAACAAACATGAGACGAAGCCACCGAGGGCCTGATTTCTCTTTGAAGAGAAGAATGTCTCTCTCTCTCTGCATATTGGCCGTGAAGTGTTGGAGGCTCAGTCCCTGGGAGAGAGCAGAGCTCCCCTTGGTGCTCTCCTGTCTTATGTGATAAGATCCATAAGATCTCCATCTGCTTTTTTGAGATAATTTGGTGTTGGATGTGTGTGCGTGGTCCTGCAGTCCCTTGGCTGCTGCTGTTGAGTTACAGGAGCTTCCCACCCTTGTGTCTGGCACAGGATCTCACCAAACAAGCAGCTGCTTTGGCCACAGCCCTGTTGCTCCCACAGACATTCCAAAAATCACCGGCATCCCTTTTCCTCGATGGTGCTTCCCACATGGCAGCAGTCAGTGCTAAACACAGACCCATCTCCCCCAGCAAGAGGGAAGTAAAGGGCTGAGTTAACCTTGCATTAGAGGCATTGTTATTTCTGAAAAGGTTTGAAAAGATTCAATTACAACTGAAAATGGCACAATAATTTTATAGAAGAGAGGAGCTGTTGTGTCTGTCAATAGAGGCTGCACCGCAGGCTGGCTGTGATCCGTTTGTGGGCTGATGGAAAAATCCATGCTGATATTTGCTTCCTTTACACCTTGTACTTCTGACTGGTTTTGAGAATCTTCTATCAGCCAAAATCTTGTGTGGTTTAGCACATAACTGGGTTTGCCACTGTTTCTTCTCCTTTTGCATGAGAAAATGCCCAGGTATTGGATTTGGTGTTTCTGGCTGGTTCAGAGCATTGCACATCTCCCCTCTCTAAAGGGAAACGTTGCTTTTTCTCTCTGTGCTCACATCTCTTCCTTCAGGTGATCTTAGCAGGTCTGGAGGCTGGTTGGGAAGGTTGCTCTATGGGCTGACCATCCTCACTCACCATCTGGGAAAAATACGTGGGAAAAATCTCCCAGCTGTGCCTTGCTGTGCTTGTTTTGTACCCACTGGTGTCATTTTCTCCTTTTTTTTTTCCTTTAATGATGGCAAAATCCCACTGGCCAGCTCATGATATGCTTTTGAGCAGTGGGAGGGGAGGAAAATCAGGAATGTCACGCTGACAGGAAGGCTCTTGGGAACATTAGGTCTCCCACTTCTCTGCTGGCACAGGCAGCCCTGACCTGAAGCATTTGCTGCAATTATTGCTGGTGGGAAGCTCCATCCACTCTTGCTTTCTTGCAGTGAGAAACTTTTTGTTTCTAACCCTTGGTTATCTTAAAAGGAATCTTGATCCATCCCTGAGCATATTCCATGGGAAGGCTGCTGCTTCCCTTCTGTGCAGAGCCTGGCAGCTCTGGCACGTGGTGCCATGTTTGCTTCCCGAATCCATGGCTTTTTAAAAGCACTTGGAGGTATCAGGTGAGCAAAACAAAACAGAAGGCTGGGCTGCCAGTGCCCTGTGCACAGGGAATTAACGTGGGTGACAGTGACAGTGGGATAACCAAGGGATGGATGGAGCTGCTCCAGGCCTGGTGGGTGCCGGGTGCTGCAAGGACAAAGCTGGTGCCTTGCACGGGATTGATTGATTAGTGCCAGGTAACGAGGCTTTCCCAGATCCTTCTCTCAGGGGGTGCAGTTGCAGTTGGAAGCCAGGAATAGCTGTTCCAGCTGGCTGGGCAGTGCCAAGCCCTCTGGCCAGCACGGGGCTGCCAGCTTTGTACCACGGCTCAGTCCTGCTAAAACACATGGGAGGGATCCAGATTTGGCTGAGCAGGAGCAGAGCAGGTGGAGAGGTTTGGCTGTCAGCAGATCACCCCAGCAGCTGGTGGCACAAATCCAAAGGCAGCTGCTTATCCTCAGGAAGGGGCTGTTGCTGGGTGAGCTGGACTGACATGGAAAAGCTGCTCCTGTGGTTGCAGTGCAGGAGGGAGGATTTTATCTAAGGCAGGAGTTGAGCTGGCATGTGGGGACAGGGGACTCCGGGGTGCAAGGGAGACTTGCTCTGTTTGGATGGGTTTGGGGTTTTTCAGATCCAAAGTCACGTGTCAAAAACTCTGCTGGAGTTGTTGTGCAGACTGGAAGTCTGCCTGCACTCCCACAGCTGCTCAGGACTTGGGAAGGCAAAACAAAATCACACAGCAAGGATTGAACAACCCCTGAGCATCTGTTTCCCTTCAATCCCCTCGGCACTGTCCTGGTCCCTGCTTGCCATCACACGTCCCTCCCTGCCCTCAGCAATGGCTCTGGGGAGCACCAGGCTGAGGAGAGCAGAGCCTGGCTTTGGAGAGGTCCTTCTGCACCCTGCTGCCAGGAATGGGAAAGATACTGGGGGAAAAGGGGGCTGGGAAATGATACCATGGGTTTTACCTTTTATGTTTTTCAGGTTCTCTGCTGCATGGTAGGTAACTCTGAAACTTCATATTAATTTAGTAGGTTCTCTTCACAGGGTAGTCAGACAAAACAATCCCTTCCCAGCTGGACAGTCAAGGACAAACATTACCCAAAAAGCACAAACAACAGTGAAGGGAAGGGGGCAAGCCAGGGGCCTGAGACTTCATGACCTGGAGCTGTAATTGGACAATTGAACCCAATATGTAGATGAACCAAAACTTGTAAAAGTGTAAAAACTTGTGATTGGGATGCATCTTGGATTCAACCTGGCTGTAGCCCTGGCCAGGCTCTTGTGCTGCCCAAGCTGTGTCCTTTTAAGGCCTTTCAGTAAATACCTATTTTACACATTTAGCTAAATGTGTCCATTTAGCTCTGTCTGGTCTCTGTTCCAGACCAGCCTCTCAAGGGAGCAGTTCAAATACAGGAGAGGTTAGACCCCTGTAAATGCAATTTTACCCCATCTGGCTGGTAGGGATCTTGCTGGTGGGTTTCTGCAGGGCCTGAAATGTTCCCTCTCTGGACATACCAGCCATCAGTGCAGGGTCACATCCCAGTTCTGCTTTTTTTCCCAGGGCTATCTTGCAGTGCTCATGCCCCGCCTGCCGGGGCGTGCAGTGGCTTTGCACCTTGTGCATTCATCTCTCCCCACCGAGGGCCGTGCCTGGGCTGGGACACAGGACAGTGCCTCTGTGGACGTGTCCTGCTCTGTTAACCACAACCAGCCGGTGCTGGGAGGGTTTTTTAGGAGCTGATTGAGGGTTTTTTAGGAGCTGATTGTTCTGGAGCAGCGGAGTGTGAGCTGCGGGGGGAGGCGGCGCCGGCGCAGCCAAGGAGAAAGGGATGAAACGGAGCCAAGCGAGCAGAACGGAGAGAAGGGGCAGAGTGACAGCATGAAGGAGAATCCCTGGCTCACCTTCAATCAATCCCTGCCTGGCCTCGCTGGTGTGCAGCGCTGTGTCAGGAGCTGTTAGGGAACACATTTGTCACCGGCGGGACAGGGAGCGCAGCGCGGGGACAGAGGCACCATCAGCAGGGCTCTGGGTTATTGATGGCTTTGCATCTCTCCTGCCTTGGGAAGAGCTTACCTGGCAGCGAGGGTGCTGAGGTGTGGGAGGAATGGCCTCAGGTGTGCCTCTGACCCATGGTTAGCTGCACATCCCTGAGGTGTCGTTGTCCACATCCCAGCAGAGCTGGCTGCTGGAGTTTGTCCCCATTCGTAGCTCCCACAGGGCAGCAGGAGTTGCAGCTGAAGAACATTATTCCCACAGGGAACATTCCTCTCAGGAAGAGTGTGGTTGGGGTAGTGGCCCTCCTGAAAAGCTGCTGTCTCCTGCTGCCCCTGGTTTACCTGTGCATTCTGATGGCTCCTCCGAGCTCACCAGGGACACCGAGGGTGCTGAGGTGTGGGAGGAATGGCCTCAGGTGTGCCTCTGACCCATGGTTAGCTGCACATCCCTGAGGTGTCGTTGTCCACATCCCAGCAGAGCTGGCTGCTGGAGTTTGCCCCCATTCGTAGCTCCCACAGGGCAGCAGGAGTTGCAGCTGAAGAACATTATTCCCACAGGGAACATTCCTCTCAGGAAGAGTGTGGTTGGGGTAGTGGCCCTCCTGAAAAGCTGTGTCTCCTGCTGGCACTGCTTTACCTGTGCATTCTAATGGTTCCTCTGAGCTCACCAGGGACAGAGCTCTCTGTACCTCACCATTTTCATGGAGTCTCACTCCCATGCCTGATCTCCCACTTCCCAGCTTTGCCTCAGAGGTTGAAGTCCATGGGCTCCAAGCTGTGTATTGTGTATCAGGTGTGGGCTGTGTCTTTCCAAAAAGAGCTCCCATGCTTTGGAAAACTGGTGGTTTTGTGCAGCCTTTGAAGAGCTGTGCATGTTAAGGAAAGGAGCTGATTCTGCCACAAGCTTCCATCTTCCTGAGCAAATTCTTGGCTGCAACATGACAGGACTAACAAATGCCATTTCCATCATCTCCTGAGTGATGGTGGGTGGGGGATCCACTGCTGGGACAAGAGATGAATGTTGTGCCTTGGCAAATGAGGGTGTGATGAATGTTGGGAGCTTGTTTTGGACAGGGATGGGGGCACACAACAGCTTCCCAAGAAATCTTAGATGGCACAGGTGTATTTTCATCCATGTGTGCTCCCTTCCTTCCTAGGTGTGGAAGAAGCTCCTGAGCTCCCAAGCTCCCCGTGTCAATGTGTTCATGGCAGTGCCCACCATCTATGCCAAGCTGATGGAATATTATGATGAGCATTTCACCCAGCCCCAGGTGCAGGATTTCGTGCGTGCCTTTTGCCAGGAGAACATCAGGTGGGTGAGCTGTGGGCAGGGGCTGCTGCTGGCTCGCTGGGTGCTCCAGGTTTTCCTTTCAGCATCACCTCTTTCAGTGCTGGTTGTTGTGCTTTGGTGTCTCTGTGACAGGAACAAGGGTGACATTATTTAATTATGAGCCACTCTTGCATGGGAAAGGCAGAAGGGGCTTGTTATGTGTCACCCTGTGTAACACATGGCTGAGGGCTTTGTCCTGTAGCCCACGCTGGTACTCCAGGATCTCTTTGAAGAGAAACCCCATATCAGGCTGAGAATTTGAGGCATATCTTTGGTCCTGGTTAAAAGAATTTTGGGGCTGCAGGTTTTACACTGAGCTTTTTGTGCCCCTGTGTCAGGCTGCAAATTCCCTGGAGCAAAGGTGCTCTCAGATATTCTCTTACCTGGGCTTTTCCTGTGCAGGTTAATGGTGTCAGGCTCAGCAGCCCTGCCTGTGCCTGTCCTGGAGAAGTGGAAGAGCATCACGGGGCACACCTTGCTGGAGAGGTATGGGATGACTGAGATTGGGATGGCGCTTTCCAACCCTTTGCATGGAGTCCGTGTCCCAGGTAGGAGTCTGCAGGGGCTGCCCCTCTTTGGGGGGAGTGCTCTGGGGTGTTCTCTGCACAAGAGTGAGGAGAGGCTGTGCTAGGAGCCAGGGTGCTGGGAACTGGCACTGGGGATTCAGGATGTGTGGGAAGTGGCTGCTGGGTTCCCCAGGGATCAAAGTCAGGTGTGCAGAGCTGGCAGTGGTGCCCACTGGCCTGACCAGGCTGGCACACTCCAGACTGGTGCTCTATTACTTCCAAAATCTTAGTGAAATAAGGGAATGTTTCTTCAGCTCCTGCTGCCTGGAGTTGTATTTCTGGGTGGTGTCACACAGGATTCTCCACACAGCAGTGCTTGTCCAACCCATCAGTGCTGAACACTTAAAATAGGACGTCTGCTCACTCTTATTTTAGTGCCTGTTTCTTGCCTCTTCAGGAATTCAAAATTGTCACACCTCGCTGTACACTCTGGGCCTGTTCTCTCCTTGTCTTTCCCCCCCTTCTCTGAGCTCCACTTTGTGATTCCTCTCCAGAGCTGTACTTTCTGGAACCTAGAAATAAATTGATCTGAGACATTGCAAATGTGAAATGCCCCCACTCTGCCTGTGGTTGGAGCGTGGCCATCTGTGTGCCCACCCTGTGCCACCTGCCTCCCCACAGGCTGTCTGTGCAGGCATGGCACCATATGCAGCCTCCTGGGGAACTGGTGTTACCCCAGAGGGGGTCCTGGGTGTCACAGCCTCCCACAGCACCCCAATCCCATGGGATGCAGGAGCTGGGGCCTGCAGGGGTGGCACAGGGAGAGGAGAAGCCAAAACTCCCCCTCGTTGACTCCCCAGCCTGAGAACAGCTTGAAATACAAACTCTGTTTTACTTTTGCAGGGTAACTGTCATTCCCTCACCCCACCTCAGCCAGTTTTATCTTCCAGCAGCCCCATCCCTGCAGGCAGGAGAGGGAGGCAGGCAGGAGAAACAAGACTCCCATCTGCAGGAGCTCGAGCTGTGTGTGAGCCCCACAGCTCAGGGTGATCATTGCACTGTCCCTGTGGTTTATTTGCTTTTTATTGATTTTCATGAGGGGAAAAGGAGTGGAGACTCCAGAAATTTCCCAGGGGACTAGAAGAGAAAAGGAACAAGACTGAAAGTTGCATGGCAGTGCACAAGCTGGCACCCAGAAGGGCAGCTCCTGCCCCAGAGCTGGTGGCTGTGCTCCTGAGGCATCATCCCTGTGGATCCTGGGGTCTGCAGGGGACAAATCCTCTTGTGCAGCCAAAGCAGAGGGGCTGGGGACTGTCACTCCAGCCCCATCCAGGGGCTCTGCAGCCCCGAGGGGAGAGAAGTGTCTCACAAAGGTGGGGATCAGCAAGAAACCCTACAGAAAGAGGCTATAATTGAATAGGCTTGATTAATTTATTTCAGGAAGTGTCAGCTGGGAAGCAGATGGGTGAAGCTGAGGCATAATTTACTGGAGCTGTGAAAAAGCTTTTGATCTAGTGCCCTGTTAGGGGCTGGGTAGGAGGTCACCAGGTACCCCAGAGATCCCAGAGGCAGCTGATGGTGGGCTGGGGGCAGGGGACATCTGCCAGAGGATCCCTCCTGGAGTGGGAGCTGCACATGTCCTTCTCCCCTGCTTTGACCTGTTGGAGTGAGCCCAGAGGAGGGATGGAGCACCTCTGCTGAGAGAATTGGGATTGTTCAGCCTGAAAAGAGAGGGCTTTGGGGTGACCTAATTGTGGCTTTCCAGTTCCTGAAAGGACCTACAAGGGAGATGGAGTGGGACTTTGGACAAGGGCCTGGAGTGACAAGACAAGGGGGAATGGCTTCACAATTAACGTTAGGTTCTGATTAGGTATTAGTAAGAAATTCTTGGCTGTGAGGGTGGGCAGGCCCTGGCACAGGTGCCCAGAGCAGCTGTGGCTGCCCTGGATCCCTGGCAGTGCCAAGGCCAGGCTGGACAGGGCTTGGAGCAGCCTGGGACAGTGGGAGATGTCCCTGCCCATGGCAGGGGGTGGAATGAAATGAGCTTAAAGGTCCCTTCCAAACCATTCTGTGATTCATGAGCCTCTGAGGAGAAATCCTGGGGCTTGCCTTGCCCTCTTGCAGGCACTTGGTGTGGCAGGGAAAGGTCGAGTCCTTGGACCCTGCCCATCCCACCCTTGTCCCCAGCAGTGTCACCAGCAGCGTGTCCCCACTCTCCACACAGGTCTGAAGGGGCAGGGATGAGGTGTGGGAGCTTTAATTTCCAGAAGCAGCAAAGATGAAAGATTTGAAAGATAAATGTTTGCTTGTATATGGTTAAAACCCTGCTTAAAATGCCTCTGTTTTCACCAGCTCTCATTCTAATCCCCCCTGGTGCTGTTACTGTGAAGGGAGATGAATAATTCATGGCTGGAGAATGCCTCACTGGGCCTAATCACCACTTTAATTGGAGGTTTAGATCAGAGGCAGCTAATAGCTGCTACAGCGGGGACTCCGTGTGTTGTTGACAGTGAGATCCTTGAGTGCCTTATCGTTGGCCTGCTCCAATCCTCCCGGGACAGCAGCACCGAGCTACCCGGATACCGAAGGACACAGAGCACAGGGCCAATTCCATTTATCTGCGAAGAGCTGACAACTTTTTTAAACAGAGGAGAAGGGGTGAGAGCAGAATGGTGTCACCCCCTCCTGCCTGCAGCCCGGTGACACCGCGGGCGAGGTGCCAGCATTGCTGAACATCCAGGAGTCTGCAAATTGGAGGGATGCAGAGGGGAAGGAGCAGAGATTCGTCCCCAGTTTCCCCTCAGGATTATGGCTGGGGACAAAAGGAAGCTCCTTCTGACCCCTTGTGATCAGCCCAAGTGTGGCTTAATGAAGGCAGGCGATCCGGGGCTGCTCCTTTGGGAACGGGCCCAAATTTCTGCTGACCTGTTGGAGTTGGCACAGGGTGTGTTTTGACACGGTGGATGGGCCTGGGAAGCTCTAGTCATTGTTTTTGCACAAATTCTATTAATCCTGTCAGGTTTGTGGAGCTCTAATCAATGGTAGGGGCTTTTTCAGCCTTTACAGATGTTGATTTCAAAGTTTGTCTCTTTTCCTAAATACCAGAAAAGCTTCTCCAGACAGAAACATAAGGAAGCAGCTCTCCACCAGGGACTTGTTTTACATGCTGGTTTTATTTTAGCCAAGTAGGAGAGGAACTGGTGGGGCTGTGTTAGTAACTGTGATCTGAAACACTGTGTGGGGAACATGTCACCTCCTCTGTGCCAGCCCTGGGCTCATCTTTGGTGTCTCATTCCCAAGGGCTGGGACCAGCAGTGGGCACTAACCCTGGAGTCCTGCTGCCCATGAATCACTGCCCATTTCCACGCTGAGGTCAGCAGCTTGCATCCAGGGAAGGAGCATCTTCCAGGAAGGCATCTGGCTGATCTTGATTTGAAAAATTCCAAGTCTGTGAGAGCCCCTGGCAGTTCCTTGCATTGCTTTCTGTTCCCTCCATGAGCTTTCCAGGACTGACTTTGTGGTGCCTGCCCACACAGACGTGCCATGTTTTGTGGGCAGATTGGAGTCTGTTCACACACAGTTTTTCACCCTGGAGAAACTGTTCCCACAGAAGTGTAGAAGGTGGCTCCAGCAACCTTCCATGCAACACTGAGGGTGTTTTCTGTGACTTGTTACTTGCTTTGAGGCCTCTTGGAGCCTCCCATGGCAGGTGCAAGATTGTTTATAACACATATGGTGTGATTTTTAGGGTTGTCCTGTGCAGAGCCAGGAGCTGGACTTGATGATCCTTGTGGGATCCAACTTCTGTGATTCTCAGATTCCATAAATACCTTGACTCTGTACCTCAGGGCACTTCTGCCTCGTGCTGCCTCCTTGCCCTGCTGCAGCCCTGTGTCTCTGGTTGCTGGCAGTGTCTGGCCTGGAGGTTGGAGCAGCCCAGGGTGCTGGTGGTGAGGGGAGGACGTGGCTGTGCTGGCTGACCAGAGTGCCAGAGGCAATTCTGAGCAGAGCAGACACGGATCACGGAGCTGCCACGTCGCTTTGTGTTTATTTCCAGCCAGATTTGCTAATTGTTCGGGTAGTTTTGCTGCAATAAAATCTCACTCCCTCATAGCCCATCTGCTCCTGGCTGATCCTGCAGGGATGCCATAAATCTGGGCTACGACGACATATCCATTTCCATGGCAACTGACCAATGTAGCAGACAAACTCATGATGTCACGGATAGCAGATCTCCAGGGCTTCAGCAGGAGAGTGAGACCAGGACAGGGAAAATGCCACTTGAACCCAAGTGCCTGAAATACGAGCGACAAGAGGAAGACAGGGCTGAGCTCCAGGTCCTGCACTCCCTGCTCTAGGGAATTCCCAGTGTCAGGGTGATCCTGGCAGACCTGGAAAGCGTCAACTGGGGGCACTTCAGGGGAGAACATTGATCATCCTTTAAAGAGCACAGTTACCAATTTATAGAATCACAGAGTGGTTTGGTTTGGAAGGGATCCTTCAGCTCATCTTGTTCCATCCCCCTGCCATGGGCAGGGACACCTTCCACTGTCCCAGGGTGCTCCAAGTCCCATCCAGCCTATCCTTGGACACTCACAGGGATGCAGGGGCAGCCACAGCTGCTCTGGGCACCTGTGCCAGGGCCTCAGCACCCTCACAGAGAAGGATTTCTCCCTGATATCCCATCTAACCCTGCCCTCTGGCAGTGGGAAGCCATTCCCTCTGTCCTGCTACTCCAGGCTCTTGTGCAAAGTCCTTCTCCAACTGAAACTCAGTCCTGTCCAGTCCTGCTGAGGCACAGGTTGCTGTGAGCTGCTGTCCCTCTCACTGCTCACAGGGGATGAAGGTCACAGGCCCCATTCTGTCACAGGAATGAGAGGCCGAGGAGACCTGCAGAGGTCTGCTGCCCATCCCACAGGTCACAGGAACAGAGCTGTGCTCTGCTGAGCTCTCAGCTGCTCCCCAGGAACAACAGGCCCTGAACCAGGGGTGGGAAAGCTGCAGGTTGGGGAGCTCTGGGTCCCAGATGCAGCTTGGAGCTCAGTAGTGGTTGTTGTGACACTGTGTCAGCTCCTTGGCTTTGAAATTGAAACGTGTGGAAGAATGGGGTGGTTTTGATCCCTCCTTTTCTCCTGTGATGTTTTCTATCCAGTGTATTGATGTCTCATCCCTGGCAATTCTCAGCTGTTAAGCCTTTGCCTCCCCTGTCAGGTGCAGGCTGTAGAGGAGCAGAGTAATCGCTGTGCTCTCTCTTTTCACAGCTTTGTGTAGGTTTTGTGGTGCCTTTCTTTTTTTTTTCTTAAAAAGAAAAAAAAAAGAAAGTGCTTCATTCCTGAGCTCTGAAGAGATGCAGATGTCTTTAAAGTGGCCAAGAAACTCTGTTCAGGGCTGGAGACACGTTTGTGTCCAGAGGCATTCCCAGCACTGCCTGCTGCTGCCATTTCCAGCAGACACACGGTGGGATCACACCTTCCTGAAGGGACCCCCACCCTGGGAGGTGCCGTTGCTGCCTGTGTGCCCTGCCCGTGCTGTGTCCCCCCAGGTTCCGTGGGGACGCCGCTGCCCGGCGTGGCCGTGCGCATCGCCAGCGAGACGCTGCGGGACGGCGCTCGGTGCTACACCGTGCACGCGCAGGGCGACGAGAGCTGCACTCAGGTACTGCCTCCTCCTCCTCGCCGCTGCTTCACTGTGGAAAGCTCTCCACGTGGGGAACGGCTCTCCTTCCCAGCCTCTGAAAGGCCAGGGCTTGTGCTGCTCCTGTTCCCGGGATCCAGTGATAGTTTGTTCCTTGTTGGTGGGTTCCTGTAGCCGTGGTGCTGTATGGACTGGGCAAGTGCTGTCCGTACAATCATGGAATGGTTTGGGGTGGAAGGGACCTCAAAGCCCATCAGTCCCACCCCCTGCCATGGCAGGGACACCTCCCAATAGCCCAGAGGGCTCCAAGCCCCAGTGTCCAACCTGGCCTTGGACACTTCCAGGGATCCAGGGACAGCCACAGCTTCTCTGGGCACCTGTGCCAGGGCCTCAGCATCCTCACAGGCAAGAATTCCTTCCCAATATCCCATCTAAACCTATTCTATTTCACTCTGAAGACCAGGTCTCTTGGAACATCCCTGCCCATGGAACAAGAAGAGCTTTAAGGTCCCTCCCAACCCAAACCATTCCATGATTCTGTGCTTGGAAGGGCAGGACTGGTGGTCTTGGGGGAGAACTCATTTTGAAACAGCACTGGGGGAGCCCATCAGGTTTGACTTCCACTTTGATGGAAGTTAGGCTCCATGCTGAGCTCCACATACTACCTGCACCTGCAGTTCTGGTGTGCCAGAGGTCAGGCATCTGTGATGGGGAACCATAATCTACCCCAGTGCTGGGTGCTGAGTGTTCCCTGCTGCTGCTGCAGCCCCAGCCCCAAGGTCTAGGCTGTCTCTTGCCACAGAAGTGGCTGAGCAGGGTCTGCCTTGCTGCCCCCTCCCCTCCACACCCTCCCTGTGGGTGTTGTGCTGCTCTGGCACATCCATCCCTGGTGATGTCTGGGCTTGGCTGAGCAGATGAATGCTGAGTGTGACAGGAGTGACCCCAGCAGTGACACCGCGTGGGTGGGACACGTGAGATTCAACCTGGAATAGGTTCCTTTGCTCATTCCCCTGGGAAATGGCTTCTCATCCAGCCACCTACAGGCTGAGGGTTTGAAAGGGCTGTGGCAGAGACACTGCTGGTGTAAGCGCTGCCGAGAGGCTCAAGAAAATCTTTTTTTGTCTAAATTATCTGGTGGCAGGTGGAGGAGCCAGCAGGACCACAGGCAGCCCCGTGGGTGAGCTGTGCTCAGGTTGTGTTTTGTGTTCTGATGCTGTAAGAGCTGGATCCACTCCAGACTTGTAAAACAGCCCAGGGGACAGCTGAGAGGGACCACGGATTGTGGCTTTTATTAAAAAAAAACTCTTTGCTGCTCTTTACTCTGTGTCACTGCTGTGGCGTGGCTGAGCAGTGGGCAAAGCAGGAGGCTCCCCATGTCCTGTTCTTGTCACTTCCTGGGTGTGTGTTATATTTCACAGGTTTGTCCTCTGATCCCAGAGTTTGCTCTTGGCCTTTTTTTTCCACTTGTGTGGAGCTGAGACATGAAATATAACGTGTCCCTTTTAATAATGATCCTATAATGCTTTTTTCCCCTCGGGGGTCCCTGGGCGCTTTACAAATTAGGTCTCAGACACGAGAATCCCCAAAGTGCAGCTCCTTCCAGGATGAAATGTGGATGTTGTTCTACTGAATTATGAGAGGAAAAAATATGGAATGTTATTTTTTCTGCTCAGTACTCTTTCCCCTTCCTTCTCATTGCACAGAGTGACCAGAGAGAGGGAGCCTAGATGATCTGTGTCTGGTGTTGGAAGCACCTCAGGGCTTCACAGAGCTGGGATTCACATAACTCTCCTCTTTCCTCTGGCTTCAGGCTGCTTGGGTTTATTTTGGGGGCAGAGGAATTGCCCTTTTTCCTGGTGATTTCTCACCTGCACCCTGCAGCTCCCAGTGTGGTCCATACCCAGAGCTCACAACTCTTCCAGGAGCTCCCACCAGCGCTGGCCTTGGCTCCCTGCCCCTTGCTGATGGTTCACTTTCCGTCAGACTCTCCCTGGGGACCTTCTGAATGTTCTGGTGAATTCTCAAGTCATCAGCCGGGGAGGGTGTGGGGAGGTGCTAATTTGCCTCTGGGCATTGGCTCATGGGTTGATGCCTCTCTGAAAAGCTGTCCCCATCTCACCCACCATTCCTCTTGTCCCAGCTTAAGTGGGAGTTTCTTCAGGCTGAAGGGAGAGCAGTGGTCCCATCTGTTCAGGCCACCCCAGGAGACAGTGGCTGGCTGGGTACCTCCAGGACATCCACAACATTTCCAGGAGCAGAGCAGAGCCAGCTGCCTCTGTCCCTGGGACTGTCACAAGGTGGGAAAAACAGTCCCTGCTCGCAGCGTGTGTTGGCACAGATGGCTGCGTGGAGATGCCAGGAGTTTGGGGTTTATGTGCCCTGGGCACAGAGTGTGACTTTCCCTGGCGTGGCCAGGTGGCAGCCGTGGTGACAACACCTCTGCTGCCAGGGATGCTGGAATTCCTGTGCCTCACACCTGCGGTCCCAGGCAGAGCCTCACCTGCTCGGTGCCCGCCCCAGCCGTTGCTGCTGGCACTGTGTGCATCATGCTTGGTTAATAATTCATGTCAGGAGAGACAACGTCAGTGGAATTTATTTAAAACGAGGCGGATCTGACAGTCCGAGTGCTCATCACGCTCCAGCAGTCCGGGAAAGGCCCGGCTTTGTTAAAATCAGCTCCTCCAGGCTCAGGGGCTGGCCCAGGGATGGGAAGAGCTGGTTGGTGTCACCCTGCCTGTGCCACCAGATAACCCCTGGCCTCTCCCTTGCCTCCTGTGAGAAGGATGAACAAATCCTTCCTCGCCTCCCTCCCAGGAGGGCTCTGAGCCTTGTAGTGGTTGAGGGCTGGAGGAGACTGAGGGGAGACCTCAGCAGAGGGGCAGGTACCAATCTCTTCCTGGCTGGGTACCAGGGACAGGACCCAGAGAATGGCTGGAGTTCTGTCAGGGAAGGTTTAGGTTGGATATCAGGGAAAGGTTCTTTCCCAGAGGGTGCTGGCACTGCCCAGGCTCCCCAGGGCATGGGCACAGCCCCGAGGCTGCCAGAGCTCCAGGAGAGTTTGGACAATGCTGCCAGGGATGCCCAGGGTGGGGTTGCTGGGGTGTCTGTGCAGATCCAGACCCATGATGTGGGTCCCTTCCAGCTCAGGATATTCCCTGATTCCATGACTCAAGCACCATGGGGCTGAGGCAGGGGGATGCTGAGCAGCCTGGCAGGAGCTGGGCTCTGAGCCATCTCTCCTCCCCAGGCGAGCAGGTGATCTCTGTGCCGGGGCTGAGGCATCGTCAGGGCGACGTGCGAGGCGTTCACACCTGGGCTGTGCCTGCAGAGCCCTCCCGAGGGCGAGCGGAGAGCGCTGCCCTTGCCAAGGGAGCCTCGCGGGGCCAGCGCCTTCCCCGCCCGCCTTGGGCTGGGTTTCTCCTCTGCTCCCAGCTCAGCCGGCCTTCTCTGAGCTGTTCCTGCCCCACTGACACCGTCTCTCACCCTTTGGACGTGTGCGATCCAAACAGGAGCCACGGAGGAGGAGGAGGAGGAGGAGCTGGGGGTGTTCCTGCTCTGCCATCCGGTAACTGCCTGAGCTTGCAGCAGGGGACCGCTGTAATTTGCAAAGCTGGTTCCTGGCACACCCTGAAGATCAATAATCTACTTAGCTGAAGGTTTGCTGGATCTCTGTTCTGCCCTGCATTTTCTCCCACCCCGTGATTGGAGCACAGGATTCCTTTCCTTCAGTCCTTCAGTCTCCTCTCAGGAGCCCTGTGCTCCATTCATTCCATTTGCTCAGGATTTCAACCCATCCTGTGCTGCTTTTTCTGGGTGTTATGCACCCTGTGCTGCTCTCCAGGGCTGCCCCATCCCCTCAGTGCTCCATCCTGCCCCATCCCCTCAGTGCTCCATCCTGCCCCATCCCCTCAGTGCTCCATCCTGCCCCATCCCCTCAGTGCTCCATCCTGCCCCATCCCCTGACTGCTCCAGCTGCTCCAGCCAGGGGTGTGCAGCAGCCTGGGGACACCTGTGGTAGGCCAGTGAGGGCAGGAGGTGACAGTGCCATCAGAGTCACAGCCCTGTGTCCCCCCTCCTGGACACCTGTGACAGGCCAGTGGGGGCAGGAGGTGACAGTGCCATCAGAGTCACACCCTCGTGCCTGTGCAGAGCTCTCCCCTGGAGAGATGCTGCTCTGGGAGCCCTGGCAGAAGGGCTTCTCCTCCATCCTCACTGGGAGCAGAGGTGTGGAAGTGGGTGTGAGGCTCTGCCTGCCCTGATTCATCCCACATGCTGCTCCTGGAGCCAGTGGCATCCAGAGCAGCTCCTCAGCTTCCCACCTTCCTTGGGCAGCCTCCTGCTGAGCCCGTCTGACCCTTCAGGCTCAGTAATCCTTACCCACAGCCAGGGGTGCTTCTTCCCATGGGGTGTTTTCCCCTGAATTTTTGGCAGCTCTCCCTGTGGCTGTGGCGCCCAGGAAAGGGTTACAGCTCTCCAGCTCTGAACATTTCAGTTTGCTTTGTTCAGTGCAATGCATATTTCATACGCTCAGCTTCCCAGCTGGCAGAGGCCTGGAAACCCTGCAAGCTGTCGGGTATTGTCTCTCTCCTTCTCCACTTGTTTGTTTGTTGGGTTTTTTGGGTTGTCATTTTTGTTGGATTTCTCTTTCTTTTTTTTTCCTTTTTCATCTTTCCCAAATTGCTCTCTCTCACCAAAGCCCAGCCCTAGTGCTGACAATGGGGGGCTATCAATAGCTAAATGGCTTCACAGCTGCAGCCGAGGCAGGGCTGCAGCCAGGGCTTTTATGGCGAGCAATTTCCCGTGCGAGGCTGCGAGGGAGTGTGGGGACGGATGGCTGGCAGGAGCTGGCAGCAGGAGGACGCTGTGCCACGGGCTTCCCCCCCTTCCCAAGGCTGTAATTATCTCGTTTATCCATATGCAAGCTGTCGTTCTGGACGGGAAGCGGCTCGGCTGTGGCCGTCCCTCCCGAAAGCCACCAGCATCTCTGTCCCCTCCTCCCCGTGCCCCCCGTGTCTGTGCCATCTGCTCACAGCTTGCTGCTGCTTGCCAGCGCCTCGGCAGGGCTGGGGGCAGCTGCCTCTGTCACCCGTGGTTGTGGCTGCAGCTCTGGGCTGTTGATGTCCCTGTGGAGGGGACCAGGGGTGGCTTCACCTCGCTCGTGTTCATCCCAGAGCTCTCCAGAGCCCGTGGGGTGGTGCCCACTGAGCTGCCAGGGTTGTCTTGGAGGACTGGGCACCCTGTGGGTCTGGGTGCTTGGGTATCCCTGTGGGATGCTCCTCACCCATCCAGGTGTCCCAGGACAGCTGGTGAGGCTGTGGCTGGCTCTTCTGCAGAGGCCAGAGATGGGCATGTGCCCGCTGTGCCTGGCATTGCTGAGAATGGCCAGGTGTGGACAGGATGTGATCACCTGGCTGGGCACTCCTGTCTCTGGCTGTCCCAGAGGAACAACAGAGCACTGGATTGTTCCTTTCCCATCCCATTCAGACCTCAGCCCAGACCTGTTCATTCCCTGTCCTCAGTCTCCTGCACTTCCAGAGCAGCTCTCCTCCAGTTTTTCACTGGTTTTCTTGTCCAGAGCAGCTCTCCTCCAGTTTTTCACTGGTTTTCTTGTCCCTGCTCCATCCCATCCTCATGTGTTGGTACCTGGATGGTGAACTTCACCTCCAGCATCCCCATTCCACCTCCCACGAGGAGCTTTCCCTCAGCTTTGGTCTCTTCCATCAGGCAGTGTGGGGAATGTGTTGTTGAAGGCAGCCTGGATTAGATCTGCAGCTTTTCTTCTCTCTGCAACCCCAGCCCTCAGGATTTCTGGCACAATCCACCTTTGATAAAAACACTCTGCATTTATTCCCATTTTCCATTTGCCTCAGCTCCTTCCAAAGCCCTCTCAGTGCTGGACACTGCACTTGTGTGTGTTCCAGTTATCTCTTTCTTTTTTTTTTTTTTGCCATATTTCTCTCATCTCCTCAGGATCCTGTTTTGTGTCCTGACCAAGTAATTCAAGAGTCTCCACTTTGTTGCCCAGGCTGCTTTTGTTCCTGTATAAACATTTTAGCTGCTTCTCATTGATCACATGCTGTTCCTTACTCAACTCAGGCATTGATTCCATTCTCAGATGTATTTATATCTCCTTCCTTCTTTCTGTCTGCCCTCTGGTTTGGTTGTTTTTTGTTGTTTTGTTTTTTTTTAATTTGTGGCCATAGCTTTTTTATTTCTTCCTGGCAGTAAAAGTAGAGACAGAGGTTGCAGTAGCATCATGTCCCCTTGTTTCTCAGCTGAAAACTCTTCTCATCACAGGGACAGCCTCGATTCCAGGAGAATATTTCCTTGCACATGGAAGTTGAACCATCTGTCAAGAGGAGCCCTCTTTCCACAAGAGTTTCCTTTGAGCTCACCTTTGTCACAGCACCCTCAGAATCTCTTTGCTGTTGTTTTGTTCTCCCATAGCATCCCAGACTGGTTTGGTTGGAAGGATGAACCTTGTCTCCTTCCACTAGAATATTCCTGTTTGTAGCTGAGGGAAGGTTTGGGGTGTTTGTGGAAGAGCCCTGCCCGTGGTGGGGAGGTGCTGGAGCCGAGGCTGAAGGAGCAGGAGCTGTCTCAGTCCCAGGGTTCTTGCAGCCAGGGAGCAGGGATGGCTCAGCACAGGGAGCAGTTAGAGCAGTGTTTGTGCAGTCACAGCTCATCACAGCCCCCAAAGTGCATTTTAGGGGAGGCTGAAGGACACCAAACCAAAGGTGGGCCACTGATGGAGCCCTTGCCTGGTCCTCTGCCTGCCCCGAGCCCAGAATCAGCTGAGGGCACATGGGGAGCCTTCCCCCAAGGAGGAGAGCAGGGGCAGTGGGAAGATGTGCTGACATCTCACCTCATTTGTTATCCCAGGGAGCCTGCAACCGACAGGGATGGGAACAGCAGCGTGCAGAGCTGCTGGCAGCTCTGCAACAGGGTTGCACATTTAATTTATGGTGTTAATATAGATCAAGAAATTCTGTGTCCATGGAACAACTGTGGGGAGGGCTGACCTTTCCCAGACTTGGCTTGTTTTCTGTCCTGCTTTTGGGATCATCTGGAGCTGATCAGGCTGGTAACCTAAAAAAATCAGTATTGCCTAAAAATATAGACAATCACTTTTGTTTTCAGTGGAGCAACATTTGCTGTAAGTAGAGGGTTGGGTTGTTTGAAAATAAGTTTCAGTGTTCCAGCTCCACTGTGCAGCAGCCTTGCTTTTAAATTTATAACTCTCCAAAATGAAAAGTAAATGGATTGTGTTATTCCCAGCCCTTTTATAAAAGTTAACATTGCAAAAACAGATGTGAAATGTGGCCTCGCAGATTACAGCCTGAGCTTGGGGTTTTTAGGTTGGGGTTTTATTTTTTCCTTACTCTCTCTGTGCTGTGTCCCTGAGGAGCAGAAATCTGCCTTTTTCCAGCAGGAGGAAAATTGTTCTGTGTCTAAATTGCCTCCTGCCAGGCTTGTGTGGATGCTGCAGGACACGGAGCTCCAAGGAACGATAATGCCTTTACAAAACCAGGCAACCTAGCAGGGAATTTTTAATTAGGAATGTGCAGGGAGGTTCAGATTGCCTGGGAATTTGGTAATGCTCTAACACACCTCCCAGTCCTAGGACATCCATCCATTCCAGTGTGGCCCTGGGAGATGGTGATTGAAGGCACTGGCAAGCAGGTTATTATCTCCAGCTTCCTTCAGGAGGCAGGTGAGACATCCTCAGCTCCCACACCTGGCCTGGCTGTGGTGTGGTCTGGAAAAGCAGAGTCTGGGCAGCCTGGAGCTGCCCTGCTCTCTGCAGGTCAGCAGGGGCTGAGCTGCTGGGTGCTGTGTTCAGCCTGGAGAAAAGGAGCTCAGGGGGGCCCTCCTGGCTCTGCACAGCTCCTGCCAGGAGGGGACAGCCAGGGGGACAGGCTCTGCTCCAGGGGACAGGGACAGGAGCAGAGGGAGCAGGCTCAGGGTGGGCACAGCAGGAATTTCCCCATGGAAAGGGGGCTCAGGGATTGGAACTGCCCAGGGAGGGTTGGAGTGCCCGTGCCTGGAGGTGTCCCAGGAATTCAGGAGGTGGCACTCAGAGCTGGGGACAAGGTGGGGATTTGGGCACAGCTTGGACTCAAGGATCCCAAAGCTCTCTTCCAGCCTGAGTGATCCTGGGATTCTGGGACATGGATCTGGGTCACCAAAGACTTGAAGGGGTGATTGAGGGGACAGGGAGGTGTCTGGAGGTGCTGGTGGCAGTTAAGGTCCAGCAGAGGAGTGGGGACCTGACTTGGGCTGCAGGACAGAGCTGGATCAGTCCTTCAGGCTTTGTTGTATCATTTCCAGTGCTCTGCTATGTTAAAAAAAAGCCCAACAAACACCAGGAAAAAGTGACTTCTGTGGCAGAAGAGGTAAAAGGGCTCTGTCACTTCCATAAACCTCACATACATAAATTATTGTCTTCTATTAGTCACTTAAGGGCTCAGTTGCTTAATTATTTTGATCACAGTAATCATTTATTTACAAGGTGGGGAAAAATGCCAAGCACTTCCAAGCCGAGCAGCACAGCAGGGAGGAGGCAGGGCTGCAGAAGCATTTCTTTCCTCCCCACAAGTCAAAATGCTTTTGCTTCATGGAGTTACAAGGTCCCTTTTGAGGTCTCTGCTGGGAGATGATGCTCTGATCCACAGCCTTTGGTGCTCCCCCAGGAAGGAGGTTCTGCAAAACCAACTTCAGGTCCCTGTGCAGGAGGAGGATCCAGGGAGAGCTCAGAGCCCTGCCAGGGCCTGAAGGGGCTCCAGGAGAGCTGGAGAGGGACTGGGGACGAGGCATGGAGGGACAGGACACAGGGAATGGCTTTACACTGAAAAGAGGTAGGCTTAGGTGGGATATCAGGGAGAAATCCTTCCTGTGAGGGTGGGCAGGCCCTGGCACAGGGTGCCCAAAGCAGTTGTGGCTGCCCCTGGATCCCTGCTAGTGCCCAAGGCCAGGCTGGACAGGGCTTGGAGCAGCCTGGGCCAGTGGAACATGTCCCTGCCATGGCAGGGGATGTCACTGGATAAACTTTTAAGTCCTTCCAATCCAGACACTCCCATGACTCTATGAGTATTTGGGGGATGAAGGGGGAAGGAGGTATCTGGTAGAGTTTAAGTGGATCTCTCTAAAACCTGTTTGCAGCCTGAAGGTATTTGGGTTTTCTCCTCAAAGTCTGTCTCCCTCCCAGTCCCCAGCCCAAGGACACGCTCTCACCTCCTCAAACCTCACCTTGCAGCTTCCCCTCTGTGCCTCCCACATGATTCTGCTTAGGAATCCACCGTGCCTTCCCTGCTTCCCAGAGAAGGACACGCAGCCCTGAGCCTTCCCTAATTCCATCAGAGTCCATCAGAAGCTCTGTGCTGCAGCTCCCGGCGGGGCAGAGACCGCAGGAAACAAACGGCCACTTTGAACAAACCCCAGGGCCCAGAGCCAGGCAGGGATTCCCAGCTCTTTACAAACCACCCTCCTAATAAAGAGGTAAAATGGGAACGGGGAGAGGGGAAATATGCATTTTCTAATCACCCAGATTTAGGCCTTCAAAGGATTTATTACAACCTTTTATTTCCATGCGTGGAAAATGGAATCTTATCTCGTGAGCCGGCTGGTCCAGCTCGACTGGCTTTAGAGCAGGGAGCTCTCTAACAACCTTCAGGGCCACGCTGTGCCTGGGTGTTAAACTTGCTGGAATGCATTAAAATGTGGCCCTGGGAGAGGGGGAGGTCCGTGCACTCAGCAATGTGATGCCTCCAGCAGCTGCTCGTGCCACCGAGCCGTGCGGGAACAACAGGAGCAAGGATTGGAGCGAGGAAGGAAACAACCACCCCAGCTGTGTGCTGCCATCCCTGCTCCCAGAGCTGGACCTGGGACTGCACAGGGGCTGGAGGAGATCAGTGCCATGAAGCTTGAGTTTGAATTGCTGCATGGGGGTGGCGTGTGCCCCTGTGCCAGGCTGGGGAGCAGTGCTGGTGACACTCGGCTGCAGCAAGCAAAATCCTGTTAAGATAACGTCACGGCCTCTCTGTTTTACTGTGTGCAAGGCAGCCATAACATCATTAAATTACACAACAGGGAGGTGCCTGCTGCCAAGGGGCTCTGCTCGAGATAAGATGTGGGTTGAGCTGCTGCCAAAATTTGAGTTGATATGACAGGAAGTTTGGAGCGGGTTCAAGGCTTGATTCACACCAGACATGGCACTGTGCAGGTAAATCAGGGCAGGGTTGAGCCCTGGGGCTGTGCAGGTACCTGGCACCATGGAATCCTGGGCAGGATGGGGCTGGAGGGGTTTGTAGCAGACAGATTTACAGCTCTTCTTGTGTTCAGGGCTGACAGGAAGAAGCCAGAGCCTGGCAGGGTGTGCAGGTGAAGTTCAGGAAATTGTTTGCAGGTTCTTTGCTCTGCCATCCCCTCCCCAGCCTGTTTGGGGAGTGGGAAGGAGCCTGAACACCAGGACATTGCTCAGGGAAGCTGCTTGTTTTGTGATGCCACAGCTGGAAGAGCAGGAAAAGGAGTGAGAAGAAAGAGCTGCATCATAAAACTCCACACAGCCTGTAAGAGCCCTGAAATGAGCCTTGTTGGTCCCTCTGTGTCACCCACCATTGGTGGTCCCTGCCACTCTTGTCCATGGAGTCTTTGTGCCTCTTGTGCCCTTCATGCCCACTGTGCCCTTTTTTGTGCCTCTTTGTGCTCTTTTTTGGATCCTTTGTGCCCTTTGCTGCTGCAGGTGTGGAGTTTTGCTCCAGGCCCTCCAGACCTCAGGTTTCTCTCATGGATTGTCTGGATTTCAGCTCCATCTTTCAGATCTGTGGGGAGAACTCAGCCAGCACCATCCCCACCTTGCCATCACTCAGCAAAATTCCTCATTGGCATTAAGGATTTTTCTTTCCTGCAGCATCTTCCAGGCAGGGAATTGATCCCCAACCAGGGCTCTGGAAGCCTGGGCTGTGTGTGCAGAGATCCCCTTGTCACCCCATCCTCCAGGACGGGACATCAGGAAGGAAATACTTCAGAATGATGCCTTGGAAGCAGTTTTCTAAGCGTTTTCCATTAGGGAAGCTCTGTTTCCCTCAGAGGCTGCAGAGAGCCTGCCCTGCCCTGGGACTGCCTGGCACTCCAGCTCTGCTATTACAGCTTTCCCTGGTGGCTCTGTTTCTGGCACTGCTGAATTTTGGGGTCCCAGACGGATCCTGGCCACTGCAGCAGCTCAAGTACAAAGTGGCTGGGAAAGTGGCTTGGAATTGCTGTTCCTGAGCTGTTCTGCATGGAGCAGTGTGTCCAGGCACATCCCACAGCACCCTTCCATCCCAGCAGTGCCTTTGCACACCTTGGCTGTGCTTTTCAACTGACAGAATGGGTTTAGATGGGATATTGGGAAGGAATTCCTGGCTGTGAGGGTGGGGAGGCGCTGGCACAGGGTGCCCAGAGGCTCCCCCTGGATCCCTGGAAGGGCTCAGAAAGGACCATCCCATTCCCAAGAGCATTTCCTGCATGTCTGCATGTGTGACCTCTCTCCCAGCAGCTGCAAGTTCCAGGGTGGCAATCCTTGTTCTCATATAACACAGGTGCTTATTCCCAGTGCTTTGGAACATCAGAAGCACCTGGATGAGCCCTTCCACCTGAGGAGAGAGGTCCTGCAGGTGGGCAGGGTGTGCTGGAGCTTGGCCAGGGCTGGAGGAGCCCGTGGTGCGTCACCCTGCACGCTGCCTGCCGTGTGCTGGGCCAGCTGACAGGAGCTGCTCTCACTGTGTGCCTGTCCTAGGTGACCCCGGGCCTGGAGGGACAGGAGGGGGAGCTGCTGGTGAAGGGCCCCTCGGTGTTCCGTGAGTACTGGAACAGACCCAAGGAGACGGCGGATGCCTTCACGGCCGACGGATGGTTCCGGACAGGTACGGGAGCAGCTGCCCCAGCCCTGCTCAGGGACAGGACAGCAGCTCTGGAGGGTGCACAGGGCAGGGACAGCAGCTCTGGAGGGTGCACAGGGCTGGAACTGTGCACGGGGCAGGGACAGCAGCTCTGGGAGGGTGCACGGGGCTGGAACTGTGCACGGGGCAGGGACAGCAGCTCTGGGAGGGTGCACGGGGCTGGAACTGTGCACGGGGCAGGGACAGCAGCTCTGGAGGGTGTACAGGGGTGGAACTGTGCACGGGGCAGGGACAGCAGCTCTGGAGGGTGCCCAGGGCTGGAACTGTGCACGGAGACAGGGACAGCAGCTCTGGGAGGGTGCACGGGGCTGGAGCTGGGGCTGGCAGCTGGAAGTGCAGGCTGGTTGTGCTTCCAGGAAGGGGCTTTGCCTGCTTGGCCATGGTGAGTCACCAAGGGATGGGGGGTGCTTGGGCTCCTTTGCTCCTAAGCATGAAATACCACTGCTTAATGTTTTCCTGGGAATTCAGCTTTGCAGACAGGTGGGACTTGTCTCAATTTACACAGGGACTGTGTCACAGAATCATTAACTACCAACTAGAACCCCCTGAGAGGAGGGTGAGGCCAGGTGGGGGTTGGGCTCTACTTGCAGGCTGCCAGTGATTTGAGGAAATAGCCTCAAGCTGTGCCAGGGGAGGCTCAGGTTGGAATCGGGAGGAATTTCATCATGGGAAGGGTTGTTCCTTGGCAGGGGCTGCCCATGAACATCCCTGGAGGTGTCCAGGGAAGGCCTGGATGTGGCACTCAGTGCTCTGGGATGGGTGACAAGGTGGGGATCAGGACTTGATGACCTTGGAGGTCTTTTCCAGCCTCAGTGGTTCTGGGATTCTCTGATTCCATGATACCCACAGCTCTGATTTCCCCCTTCTCCTCTTTCTGTGTGTTAGCAGTGCTGTGGTGGCAGGAGTCAGGCTGGATTTCTGATGCCTTCTGTGTAACCTGATTTATTGATGGTTCCTGAAGAAGCTGTGATTTATTCTAATTGTTCTCCCGAAGCAGAGCTCACTCTGCCAGCAGTGTCACCACGAGTCCCCAAGCCAGGCAGGCACCCCAGGCTGGGACCAGAGCACCACCAGCCCTCACGTGGGGTGCAGGGCAATCAGCTTTAAAAATTTTTTTAGTCAACACTCCTGATGAATATTTCAGCTGCAAAGGAATAGCGTGCATTAATTATTGCAAAGAGATGTCTTTAGGAGAAAATGATTTTGAAATTCAGTTTAATTTCATTGTAATGCGCCGCAAACAGGAAGGGAGTATGTGTGTTTAATTGGCTCTCGGGGGTAAGGCCGGGAAGATGGCATGCCTTTGTCACAGGCCATTAGTGATACAGACTGCATAATGAGGGACTACAATCAGCTCACAGCTGCCGGCTCCTACGGGGAGAGAATGATATTAAATAGAAATCAGTATAAATTAAACTTAACCCTTTCGGCAGCTGAGCAAAGCTCGGAGCTGGAAACAAGGGAGGGGAGCAGTGGCAGGAGTGGGGGGTTCAGGATGGCTCAGGAGGTGCTTGGACAAGCCCCCCAGCAGTCAGTGACCTCCCTGATGTCCCCCTTGAGCTCCCTTCCCCATCCCTACCCCACTCTGCCTTCCTTCCCTTCCTTCCCTCTCCTGCCTCCTCTCCATCTCTCGGGGATGTCAGGTCAGTGGGACTGGGTTTTTCCCAAGCCTCATTTATCCAGCAGTGCCAGGAGCAATCCCATGGCCCCATCCTCACCCTGCCTGCCCCAGCCTCATCAGCAGCCTCTGGAGATCACTCAGAGATGGCAAATGTCCTGTGGTGGTAAAAAACCCTGGAGGGAATGAAAGGGCTTGTGTCCTGTCGCAGGGATTGGATCTGGAGGCTGAATTATCCCCATTAAGCACAAATTGGTTACTCTGGAGCCAAAACCATACTGGCAGGATCCAACAGAGGTGAATCCAGGCTGTAATTCCCTGTATCTGCCCCTTCCAGGTCATCCAGGTGAGTGTTTTAGAGGTGAGGCAGAATGCCAGCACACGGTGTCCCCAGAACCCCAGCCATGGCTTTCCTGCCTCTGTGCCAGCATTCTGCTCACTGCTGACCCTTGTGGTGTCCCCACCAGTCACCTGCAGGCTGCACGTGGTGGCCAAGTCCCTCAGGGCTGGAGTTTCACAGATTTATGGAGTGGTTTGGATGGGAAGAGACCTTTAAGCTCATCCTGTCCCATTAACAAGGGCACCATCCATTAGACCAGGTTGCTCCAAGCCCTGCCCAAAAAAAGGGGGAAAAAAACCCAGTGACTGATGAATTCAAGATCCTGGCTCTTCTGAGAAGCCTCTGAGCTCCTGGTGGTGCAGAGGGGATGTGCTGTTGCTGCCATCCTCTTTATTCCCTGGGATTTGTGCTGCTGCCTGCCGATCCCTCCATCTCTCATTTCCATCCGAGTGAATTTGATTATTTTTATTGTATTAACGCTGTTGACAGAGCTGCTGAGATCAGAGTCCCCTCCAGCCATTTCCAGGGAGACTGCTGGGTTTCCACCTGCTGTCATACATCCGAGTGGCACCGAGCCCTCGGCTGCCCAGCCGAGCCCAAAGGAAAAATGCCCGTGGGCATCTGGCTGCTGTGCCTGCTGAGCCTGCCCAGCTGTGCCCAGCTGTGCCAGCCTGCCAGGGGAGAGCAGCCTCCAAGCCCTCACGTGCTGCTGAGAGGGGAAAGGAGGGAAGGAAGACATTTTTTAGGATGAGGCCCTGGCGCAGGGTGCCCAGAGAAGCTGTGGATGCCCCTGGATCCCTGGAAGTGTGCAAGGCAAGGTTTTGGAGCAGCCTGGGACAGTGAAAGGTGTCCCTGCCCATGGCAGGGGGTGGCACTGGTCCCTTCCAACCCAAACCATTCCATGATCCTGTGAGCAAAATTTAAGGGACCATTTAAATTAAAATTAAAGGACCCTTTAAAGTCCCTTCCAACCCAAACCATTCCATGATGCTGTGAGCAAAATCAAACCTTGGGAACTGGAGGAAAGCAGCAGAGAAACAGCAGCTTCTGTGGTCATCCTGATGTCCATCCATCCATCCATCCATCCCTGCCAGCCTTGCCATGCCCACACGGGCCAGGCCCTGGCACTGCCAGGCTGTGTTTTCCCTGCCCAGGAGGCAGCAAGTGCCTTTGGAAGCACGAGGAGGGTTTGGGAGCATGGTGGGTGCCCACCGTGGTGCCCAGCACTGCCCCTTGCCCACAGCTCCCTGCCTGCCCAGGGGTTTCTCCAGAGGAATGTGCCAATCCAGCCGTGCTCCCCAGGCAGGCACAGGCCCAAGAGCTCCCTGCTCCCCGAGGGAAGGGCAGCTTCCAGTCACATTTGCCCATAGATCCAGAAAATTAGAATCTGGTGTATTCAGGGAGATTTATTTTCAATTACAGGTTAAGGCTGAGACATGAAATAGCTCCGGGTTTGAAAGTAGTGCATAAATCCTGCAACAAATCCATGTATCCCTGCTCCATATAATAAGATTTTATTGATTGCTATATTGTATCTGTCAGAATAAAACTCTCTTAATGCATGCATCAGGATGGAGAAGATAGAGAGCTTGTTGGGAGTAGAATCTGATTCAAGAATCAATGCACTTTGATTAATATGTCGTTAAGAAAGTAAGAGTTATTTAACTTGTTTGATGCACATTGCAGAATGATGACTCATATCTTTTAAATTTCTTTCTTTGAGCTGCATTTTAAAAAACCCCACAACCTTGGAGCTGTTTTTCACATTGTTAAATCTTGGTTTATCAGTGAATTTTTGCTGAATCCTTTTGCCCAGGTCACAAATGCCCCTGAACCCCATTAGTAATAAATCCTATGGCCCAAAACACTTCTCCTATCCTGTTGTTAAGGCTTTAGAGGGAGAACAGTGTGGACCTGGTGTTTCTTTATTCCTTCTGGATGTTCTGCAGTGAAGGAGGAAGCTCCAGGGAAAACAAAACAAAACAAACAAACAAAAAATGCAACAACAAAAAGTTGTTTTTCCACTGTGATTACAAATCCAAGCACCAAGACAAGCCCTGGCTTAGCTGGGAACATCCCACTCAGCACTGAAGTCCCAGCTTGCTCCAAAAATGGAACATCCAGGGAATGATCCCAGTGACTCTGACTGGTTTCAGTGAGCCCCTGATGTGTCTCTGTCATTTTCAGACTGAGCTCTCCACTCCACAAGTGACACCAGCTGCAGATCCTTGCCATTCCCAGCCCTGGCGGTGCAGATTCCACACAATCATGGAATAGTTTGGGTGAGGAAGGACCTTTCAAGGCCATCAAATCCAACCCATCACGACCAGGAGGGGCTGAGGGAGCTGGGAAGGGGCTCAGCCTGGAGAAAAGGGGGCTCAGGGGGGACCTTGTGGCTCTGCACAGCTCCTGACAGGAGGGGACAGCCAGGGGGGGAAACAAGGAACAGGATGAGACAAAGTGGCCTTAGAGAAGGTTTAGGGTGGAGATGGGGGGAAATTCCTTCATGGAAAGGGCAGTGGTGGAGTCCCCATCCCTGAAAGTGTTGAAAAAACATGGATGTGACACTTGGGGACATGGTCAGGGCTGACCATGGTGGTGCAGGGCTGATGGTTGGACTTGATGATCTTAAAAGATCTTTTCCAGCTGATTCCATGACTCTGTGATTTCCACCCCTTGTGGTGGGAAAGGCAAAGCCTCCTGCAGTTTCCCAGCACAGAGGAATGTGCTGTTTGTAGGAAAGGCCCCGGGCAGGTCATCCTTGGCCAGGCCCAGCTCTTCCCTGCCCTGGGGCTGTGCCCAAGGAGAAGGAGCAGGATGCAGCCCCGGCCCTCTGGCACAGGCTTTTCCCAGTGCCTGGCTGTCCCCAGGGAGCAGCAGGTGTTTCCCTGCCAGGGGAATTGCTCACATCCGTGGGTGGAGCACAGACACCTGAAAGAGAAAATACTTGAGGCTGATCAAGGCAGATTATAAATAGAAATGCATCTAATTAGCATCTTAATCTGCAGGTTTTCTGTTTGTTTGCGGTGGCTTTCCTACTCACAAATCCAGCTAATGCAAATTCTATTTTTAAAGGAATGATTCCCTAATTGTAATGTGCTGAAATGATGAGAGTTACCGGTGGGATCCCACCGGAGGGAGCGGGGGCTCCTGCCTGGAGGAGCTGCTTGTGCAGCCTGCCAGGGACCAGCCTCGGGTGGGGCAGGGTGGCAGAGCTCACCTTCCCACAAATGCCATGGAAGGACACCCCAAAAATGCCAGGTGGACCCCACACACACTGCTGTAGGAAGGAGCAGGAGCAGAAGCCAGCCCCGTGCTGGGCTCCCCTTTTCACCCAGTCCTAATTTAAGAAGTGTTTCTGAAATTGAAACCATAAAGACAGAATATTTTCTGGTATATCAGCCTTTCTCACCCCAGAGGTTTCTTCCACACACACACTCAGAGCACTTTGGAGAGAGAATTCCCTTTTTTGCTTCCTGCTTGGGTATTTATTTCTCCTCCTTGAGGATTCAGTATTTCCAGGTTTGCCTGACTACTGGAAGCCTTGGGGTCACCAGGACATGGGTGAGGTGGAACAAGATGAGCTTTAAGGTCCCTTCCAACCCAAAACATTACGTGATTCCCTGATTCTGTGATTTTATTTCCCTGACTGCTGGTGAAACTGATGTTTTCAGCAGTTCAGAGTGACTTGGGATTTTTGTAGCTGTAAATGAGAGCAGCTTTTGGCACAGGATTTGTTTACTCTCTAAAGCTCTGCTCTCGTCGTATCAAACATCTTGGATGCCAATCCTTTCCTTCTTTGAGAACCTCTGCTGCACTGAGGCTCCTTTCCAGAGGCATGGAGCAATTGCTCCCCAGCTGAGAGTCAGTGGGAACAGCAGGCACCTGCAGCTCCAAAATCTGGGCTCTTCCCTTTTGTTCTGTGTCTGCTCTTAGCCCTGGAGCTCTGCTGCAGCAGTGCTGCTCTCACAGCCTGGAGGGAGAGCTGGAACCAGCCCCTGACTGCTGGCACTCATTCTTCCCATCCCATCCCATTCAATTCCATGCCATTTCAGGGATTTAGGAAGGAATCCTTCTGTGAGGGTGGGCAGGCCCTGGCACAGGTGCCCAGAGCAGCTGTGCTGCCCCTGCATCCCTGGAAGTGTCCAAGGCCAGGCCCCAGGACACTGCATGGAAAAGAAGAGGTCATTCTGCCTTTTGCCAAGGTTTGATTGTCCCTCAGTGGCTGCAGGGAGCAGAGGGATCTGCTCTAATATTTTTATTATTACCATTATTATTTTTTGTTACCACACTCTCCAAAGCTCCACCAGCACATGCAGCCACACCTTGGAGCACTGACTTATTCATTACTCTTGGAGTTTTCTTTTTTGTCTCATTGTCTGCAGGGATTTCCATAAATATTTAAATGCTAATGTGGAAAAAAGAAAAAAAGTGTTTTTCATTTTTACTCACCCATTTTCTTTTCTGGCTGATCCTCTGGGCAAACCCATCTGCAGTAATTCAGGCTGGAGGAGTGGGGGGGTCCCTGCTCAGCCTGCTTGTGTCATATCAGTCACCCATGGGTTCCTGCTAGTGAGGACTGAGCCTCCAAACTCTTGGCTGCCTGGTTGGCAGGAACCTTCCAGGTCTGCCTGGTTTATGCACTGCTTTCCCTTGGAGCAGGACGTGCAGCCTGGGGAGTGTTCATCTGCTCTTGTCCTTCAGTTCTGAGGGCTTGGAGAGGCTCCTGGTCATGCTGGGCTGAAGAAATGAGATCAAAATGAGGAGCAGCACCTCTGCTGCCAGGACAGGCAGGATCTGAGGCTCTGCCAGGCCTTGCCAAGGCTGACTTTCCATTTGGTGCTGTCCTCTCCTGGCTGGATGCCCAGGGCTTGGCTGGCACAGGCTGTGTCAGGGTGTCCAGTGCCAGCCCAGGCCAAGGCTGGAGCAGGGACCATCTGCAGCAGCCCCTGGGGCCCCAGAACAACAGGACAGCCATGGCTCTTTGTGTCTGCTAGCCAAACCTGCTGCCCAGTGGGATGTGGTGGGAGGTCTGGCTGGCAGGGGATGGGAGAGAGAGGGGTTGGAGAAAGGATCTGAGAGGGATGGGTTGGAGAAAGGATCTGAGAGGGATGGGGTGGAGAAAGGATGCAGTGGATGGTGTTTTCCCTGCCCCAGGGGGATCCTGAGTGCAGAAACAGTGCAGTGGGACAGTGATACCTGCCTTCTTCCCTGTGTTCAGAGAAGGAGAAAAAATCCTTTTGGGTGCAGGGGAAGGTCTGTGTGGTGGAATGAGCCCAGCCACAGGAGCCAGAACAGGGTTGTGGAGGGGGAATGTGGGTGGTGAAGGAAATAGGATGTGCAGACAAGCCAGGAGGGTCAGTGGGCATCACCCTGACTTCTCACCCTGCTGAGAGGAGCCTGTAGAAAATACATGTGTGAGGGGAAGGAATCTGCTAGATCAGCTGAGACAAGGGGAGCTGCACTCCAGGCAGGTGCCCAAGTCCCTCTGTGCCCTGGCTGGGAGCAGGGTGGGCAGAGCTCAGCTCAGGCTTGTCCTACCTGCTCCTTTGCCCTGCCAGGTCCCCGAGCTGCTGCCAGCACTCCTGGCACTGCTCCATGTCCCACGCAGCCACACAGCGTGGGGAGGAGAGCCTTGTTAGCACAGCTCTTTGTGAGATGCCCTTGAGTGATTTATTTTTTCTCCAGGTGTAAATGCCAGGGGAGGCTGTTCCAGTGCTTCCCATTCTTTCATCTCGGCAGGGTTTTGCCCTTTCTCCCAGCGTGGCTCTGACAGCAGGCTCAGTGCTGCTGCCTCTGGAATACAAAGTTCCCTGTTAGAGAGCATGACAGGAATTCATTCCAGGCTGGGCCTATTTTTTTTATATTTTTTTTATTTATTTCTGATTTTCTTTTTTCCTCATGCTGGCTGCTCCAGGAGTCTCTGGAGAAGTTTTGAGAGTGGGAAGCCCATTGTTTAACCCCTTTCTTCTGGGAGCAGGCAGCCTGAAGATGACCCAATGCCTTTCCCAGATCAATCATGGAATATCCTCAGCTGGAAGGGATGCATTAAGATCATCAAAGTACAAATCCTGGCCCTGCACAGACACCCCAACAATCCCAGCCTGTGCCTGAGAGCATTGTCCAAACTCCTGGAGCTCTGGCAGCTTTGGGGCTGTGCCCATTCCCTGGGGAGCCTGGGCAGTGCCAGCACCCTCAGGCAGGGACCCCTTCCACCATCCCAGGCTGCTCCCAGCCCTGGCCAGCCTGGCCTTGGACATTTCCAGGGATCCAGGGACAGCCACAGCTGCTCTGGGCACCTGTGCCAGGGCCTGCCCATCCTCACAGGAAGGATTTCTCCCTGGTATCCCATCTAAGCCTGCCATCTTTCAGTTTAAAGCCATTCCCTGTGTTCTGTCCCTCCATGCCTTGTCCCAGTCCCTCACCAGCTCTCCTGGAGCTCCTTCAGGCTCTGGAAGGGCTCTGAGCTCTCCCTGGAGCCTTCTCCTCTCCAGGTGAGCCCCCCCAGCTCTGCCAGCCTGGCTCCAGCCCTGGAGCAGCGCCGTGGTCCCCTCTGGGCTCTGTGCAGCATCTCCCCCTCCGTGCACTGCGGAGGGCAGGTGGGCCCTGCCTGGGGAGAGCAGCTCCACGCTGAGCTCACCTGCCTGTTCCCCCTCAGGGACAGATCTGGGGCTGCAGCTGCTGAGCCTCTCTCCTCCCAGGCCCCGGGCCCTGCTGGAGGATCTTGGCAGCAGATTGGAGCTGTGCTGCCAGCCAGGGCTGCCCGTGCCAGGGTAGCAGCTGGGCCCAGCAGCGCGGTGCCCGCCCTTCTCCCGGTGCCCTGGCTCTGCTGGGCAGGGCAGGGACACCAGGAAAGGTGTTCTGCACCCAGGGAGTGACTGGGAGCTGCTGGGGAGAGGGTTTCCTCGTGAGTAATTGCTGTGGATTAATATACATGTGGTTTTCTGAGGAAGTTTCAAACTCTCCCCCTCAGGAGCTGGTGGTGCTTTATTAACAATCGTGGGCTGTCCAAACCCAGCGTGCTCTGCAGAGGGAGCTCAGCAGCCCCAGTGCTCCTGCACAGGGCCTCCTGTGAGCCATTTGCTGGTCCAGGTGGCCTGGTGAGGGTACAGGGACTCGAGTGTCCCCTAGGAGTCACCCAGGGTTGTGACACGCTGCAAAGGGAGCAGAGAGTTGGACTCTGGAGCCGCAGGTGTCACCCCATGGTCTGAGCAGGGTGGGAAAGGTGGGGAAAAGCAGGAACTGCTGATTTCAGCTGTGTTGGGATTAAAGGAGCTGCTGGGAATGCAGCCTGCTTCCAGGGAATGGGAGTGCTGAAGGGCTGGGGTGGATGGGGATGACTGGGGAGAGGAGACCCAGTATTTCCCAAGTCTAATTAATGTTAATTAGCTACAATTAGTGCTTGTGACCTCTGTTGGCAGCCAAGATGGCTGACAGCAGGGACACACATTCCTCACTTCCACGCAATAAATCAAGCTAAAGGTGCTCAGTTATTTAGCCTATCATTTAGCATTTCATTAAAGAGATCTGTGCACATACATCAGCAGCCTCGAGCCCTGCAGGAGCAGGGAGGGCTCCCATCAATCCCAGCAGTGCCACAGAGGCTCTGCATCTCTGAGCTGCTCCTTCCCCGGCATCTCTCAGGTGCTGGGAACTCACCCAAGGCCAGGATTCCAGCAGAGGGTGACTCACAGGGAGCGTGCTGCTGCTCCTGCAGGGAGATGTGGCTTGGAGGGAGGTCTCACCTGGAGGATGAGGGGGAATTCCTGAGCTGGGGACAGCCTGGAAGGTCCCTGCTGGAGGCAGGATGTTGCTTCAGCTGGGTGCCACTTTGCCACGGTGTCTTCTGCCATCTCTTCTCCTAGGGAGCAAGCAACAGGACAAGAGTGAGCAGCTTTCCCTGATACCTAACAGCCTTAGGGGAGCTTTCCTCATGGGAAGGGCTGCCCAGGGCAGCAGTGGAGTCTCCATCCCTGCAGGGATTTAAAACCATGAGGATGTGACACTTGGGGACACGGGTTAGTGGAATAGACAGTCTTAAGGGCCTTTTTTAAGCAAAATAATTCCATGCTTCTCCTAAAGCCAGCAGCATTCCCATGGCACGCTTGGAGGAGGCCTCTGCCTCTTGCTGCTGCAGGTTTGTGGCTGGGCTGCCCGTGCAGCCCCATGCCCTCCCTCTCCCAGGGCTCCATAAATAAGTGCCCCAGCCCAGGCTGGCACGCTGTATCAATCTTGTTTAATAGCCTGGAAAGCTCCTTGCACGGCGGCAGGTCGGGGCAGCGCCGGGGTGATGGATTGCACCTTCCCAGAGCCGAGCGCCGCTGATATACGATGAAATATTTATGATTTATTCCAGCTAATAAACTGGAGTGAAGTGTGTGATGTATGTGAGCAGATGGGGGATCTGTGCGTGCAGTTCTGTGGTGTGGGGGGAGGGAAAGGTGGATGTGTGTGACGGAGAGGCAGCGCTTGGCTGCCCATCCCACGGCCCGGCCACAGAGGGGATGGATTAGCCAATTCCTATAAAAAGCCTTTAGCACTTGCCTTATAATCATTTATCCTCCCCACGTGGCCTTTCTCCAGCACGGGAGCCTCTGGGAATGGGAACAAACCATTTCTTTTTGTACTTGGGAGCTTGTGCCCAGAGGGGTGGGAAGAGAGGCAGAGTGACCACAGGAATGTCACTGCTGTGCCACACTCAGCAGCTTCCCAGCCCCACTGTGTCAGTGTTACCTGCAAAAAAATCCTTCCTGTGGCTTTAGGAGAGGGGTGAAACACTAAAGTGCCCTGGAAAGAGCAGGGAAACTTGAAAGCACATGAGAGGTGTGACAGGCACATGGAGCTTGTGGCTGCAGGGGGATTCCAAGGCCTGAAGGAGCATTCCCATGCTGTGCTGCTGGAGCTGATCTGCAGGCAGGAAAACTGTGCAGAAAGGAGGGTGATGGAGGAGGACCTTCCTGCCAGGTGGGGCCCCACAGCTGCCTCTGAGTGGTCAGGGGGACCATCACAAGCCCTGGCTGAGCCCCTGTGTGTCCCCATCCACTGTGGGTGCTGGCCTTGGAGACTTGCTCCTGCAAAATCCTCACCTGGCAAAGGGGGTTTGAGCTCCCAGAGGTGAGGATCAGCATCAGGGCTCAGGCTCTTCATCACCTGCCTGGCTGTTGGACCAATCCTACCTGGAGAATAAATCATAATCCTGATCAGTGAGGTGTGTCTGCCAGAGGGTGAGCTCTGCCTCAGCCTGATGGACCAGCAGCATCCACAGTGATTCCAGGGAAGTGGGAGGCAGGTAGGAGTTAATGCCAGGGTAGAGCAAGGATGCAGAAGCTCGTGCCCACTGCTCCTGGTGTGTGAGGCCACTCCTCATCCCTGTCCTGGCAGCTGTTCCCTTTCTGCCTGAGTAGCCTCTGGATCAGTGTGCTTGGAGATCCTCTGCTGAAAGGCACCAGAGAAGGGCAAAGACTGATTATTCCCACTGCCTCCCTGCAAGCTGCACGGGCTTTTCCAGCTGGGAGCTTGCTGCTCCCCCTGACACGCTCACTTGGTGAGAGCAGCAATTCCAGAGGAATGCAGGAGGGCGGGTGCTCTGCTCCTGCTCTTCCCTCTGGAAATGAGGGATCCTCACTGCAGGAGAGCAGCTGGCAGCAGGGAATTCCTCCTGGAGTTTGGAAACAAAACCATAAAGGCTCCCAAAGGAGCAAGGTGCACTGTGTGGTCTGAAGGAGCTCTGCTGACTGTCCCCAGAGGAGCTCTTCTGTCCTGCAGGTGGGTGTCACCTGGAGGAGTGGCTGTGAGGCATTCCTGCTCTCTGTCCCCACTCTGGGCTGGGCCCTGCGTGCAGCATTTGAAAGCCAAGAGTTTGCAAAAATCAGGAGTGATTCATTAACAGCAAAAAGGTCTAATTAATATTTGACAGTGCTCCAAGCACATCCTGCTGCTGGCAGGGAAGGGCCCCCCAGCATCCCCAGCCCCTGGAGCTCCTGGCTGGAGATTCACTGCCTCCAGAGCAGGAGGCTGAAATCATCAGCAAAATCATTTGCCTTTCAAAGGGGACATTTGCTGCTTCTTGGTATTTTCTGCTGTGCAGCACTTGGTGTGCTGGAGCTGTGGCAGGCATGGGGGGACGTCACAGCTGCAAGGAGCCAAATCCCCTGGGAATGATGCTCGTGGAGCAGGCTCTGCTGGTGGCACTGGGCTGTGGGGCTTTGCTTCCCAACCTGGCAGTGCCCATCCTCGGATGGGAGAACACCCAGGACACAGCCAAGCCAGAAATGTCCCTGCTCTCAGATCAGCTGTGTCAGGACAAAAAGATTTCACTGACCTTCCCCTTCCAAGTGGATACTCTTCTGTGCACCACACTCAAAGGGTAATATCTGCCCTGCCTAAACAGACTTTTTCACTCTCCTGGACTCTGGTGACACACTTGAAATCTCCTGGGAAGCTCTGCCAGGTCCCCTCTGGAGCTCTGAGCTCCAAGAGTGGGTGCACAGCCCGTGGGTGGGCAGGCAGCTGCCAGGAGTGCCCTGTGACAGCTCCAGACCAGCCTGGCACCGCCTGCTCCCGGCTCGCACGTCCCAGCGCTGTCACTGCCACCAAGCTGGTGACACCTGTAACCAAACAGCCTCCCAGGCTCCCGAGTGACACCTGTCCCCAGAGCGGGGATGGGTGCCTGGGGTGGGCTCCTCCTGGGGGCAGCTCCGGGTGCTGACCTCTCCTCCTCACCTGTGGGCAGGGTTGAAATCTTGGACTCAGAGCCCCAGTGTGAGACCAGCACTATCCCTGTGTGTCCAGCAGGTCCCAGAACATTCCTGACCCTCTATCTAGACCAGGCTGAAGTCACCTGATTTACCTAAAAAGTCACTTTTTATGCATACTTCAGCTTAGAGCTCCTAAGCCACTCAGTGTTTGATTTCTCGAGCCAAAGCATTCCCTGGGTCAATACTTGGTTGTACCTTTGATGTGGGAACTGTGCTGTGTTTGCCAGGAACAAACTGCCCTGTGGCTGAGGGTGTTGACACAGGTGAGGATTTGATCCTGCAGCTCAGCTTGAGGAGCAAAGGGGCTCTTGTTCTCCTCATCCTGGGAAGCAGCTCCAGCAGCCACAAGGTCTCAGCACTCAGTGAAGGAGGTGCTCAAACTACAGCAGAGTCCCAAGGGCCCTTTTGTGTTTGCAGTGAGGATTTTGCAGCATGAGGAACCTCATGGCAGAATTCTCCACAGTTTGAGTTGGGAGATGCTGGTCTCCATTGCCCGTGTGTCCTTCTGCATCTCGCTGGGATGGGTGGTGAGGGCTGGGATCAGGTTATCCAGAGAAGCTGTGGCTGCTCCTGGATCCCTGGCAGTGTCCCAGGCCAGGCTGGATGGGGCTTGGAGCACCTGCGCCAGTGGAAGGTGTCCCTGCCATGGCAGGGCTGGAACAAGATGAGTTTTAAAGTCCTTCCAACCCAAACCTTTCCCTAATTCCATGTTTTTAGCTGGATAAATATATCTATAACCGCCTGTAACTCCAGCAAAGGGCAGCCCCCGCCGGCGCAGAGCCTGCTCAATATGCAGCTCAGCAGAGCCTTTAACATTTCACAGAACAGATGCCCACTGAGCATCTTGAAACAAATCCAAAGGTAGCAGTGACGGCTGCTGTCAGGGAGGCAACAATCCCACGGCCCCGAGGTGCTGCTGCCACGGTCTGTGTGGTGACAGGAGCTGGGTGCCATGGCCCAGGTGGGCAGAGGAGGTGGGGTGTCAGAGACCCTCATTCAGCAGCCAAAATTCCTTTTCTGGTTGAGCTAGCTGAGCACAGGGAATGCTGGTTGTGGTTCTGAGCTGCATCCTGCTGGATGGAGCAGCTGGGATGGATGGGCACAGCACCAGCAGCTGCCCACAGGGTTCATGGGGCAAGGACTCACCTGTGACCCCAGGAGGACAGGCACTGGTGGTTCATGGGGCAAGGACTCACCTGTGACCCCAGGAGGACAGGCACTGATGGTTCATGGGGCAAGGACTCACCTGTGACCCCCAGGAGGACAGGCACAGTCCTGCTGTGTCTCTCAGGGCAGCACCAGTTTGGAAGTGACACTCAGCACTGCTGGGGACAGTCGTTGAGCAAATTCAGCATCCTTTTAACTGGTCTGGGAATTCCCTGCTGGCTTGGGAAGCAGGGCATGCTGGCTGTGCACAGGCTGCCTGATGTGCTGGCTGGCAGCAGATGGTGCAGGGCACAGGGTGACGGGGCTGTCCTCGGTGGATGGCATCCCCCAGAGCACTGCGGGCTGTCAGCGTGGCAAGTGACAGCCAGGGCCTGCTGCTGGAGGGGAGATGGCAAGGAGGAGACGGGGGGAATTACAGAGCTGGTCCCAGGAGCTCACAACAGTCACAACAATAACGTGACAGGTCCCCTCCCTGTGCCGTGCTGCCAGTGGAATGGAGGGATCCGTGTGGGAAGCAGAGCTGGCAGGGATCATTCACCCCAAAGAATGCCATGGGAACTGTGTGCCACTGAACCAGGCTGAATTCCCTCTCCTCTCCCCATCTTCTCTGTGTGAATAAGCAGCTCCTGCTCCTGGCTCTCCCAGTGCCACCGATTAATTAATGTCCCCTGTCCCCGTGTGTGTCAGTCACACACCACAGGATCAGGGTGCAGAAGGCAGTTCATCACAGCAGCCACGGCTTCCTCCCCACTCCAAGCAGCCAAACACCCAGAGAGCCCCAGTCTCCAACTTTCCCCAACTTCAGAATATTCCAGACAGCCTTCAGCATCCACAGAGTGCCAAGGGGCAGGCAGATACAGGAACAATTAATCATTCCCTGGCTGAGCTGAGCTGCTCAGGATTTTGGCAGGTGCCAGCTGAGCAGGGACACAGCTCTTGTGGGGAGCAGCCTGGATTTTCAGGACTGATTCTGATGCTTCCTTGCCCTGACAGCAAATCTCTGGGCCTTTGCTGCACCGAAGTGCCAGAGGTGAGCTGGAAATGGGGTGTGAAAACTGCATCACTGCTGGCACATCCTGTGGTACCTGGGCTGGGCTGACATGGATCACACCTGTGGGAAGGACAGGTTGGACCAAACATCTTGCTCAGGACAGGCTCATTTTCCCATTGTCATTCCCCACCTTTTTATTTTTTTTTCTTTTGTGGAATCACAGAATGGTTTCGCTTGGAAGGACCTTAAAGCTCATCTCATTCCCCCTTCCACTATCCCAGGGTGCTCCAAGCCCTGTCCAGCCTGGCCTGGGACACTTCCAGGGGTGCAGGGGCAGCCACAGCTCTGTGGGCACCCCCTGTGAGGGTGGCAGGGCAGGATTCCCTCCCAGTCTCCATCCCAATGGTGGGAACCATTCCCCCTTGCAGCACCAGCACAGTGCCACCTCCACGTGCCAGGAAAGGCAGAGGGGACAAGGGAGCAGCCTCTGAGGGAGCTCTTTGTTCTGCAGGAGACACAGCAGCCTACAAGGATGGAGTGTACTGGATCAAGGGCCGCACCTCCGTGGACATCATCAAGAACGGGGGGTTCAAAGTCAGCGCGCTGGAGGTGGAGCGGCAGCTCCTCGCACACCCCCACATCACAGGTCTGTGCTGCCCCTGCTCCCTGCCCAGAGGGGACAGGGACACTGCTCTGGGGACAGCCCCAGCAGGTGCCCGCAGCTCCCTGCCACAGGGGGATGTTTAAACCCCACAGCTCTGCTCTCCCAGAGCCGAGTCAGCAGCAGCTCCTGTCTGATCTGGGGAATGAGGCTGCAATTAGATCTGCCCTGCCCTTGTGCACGACCCTGTGCAAGGGGTCAGAAGTGGTGCCCCCAGCTGCACACCACTCTGTACATCATCTTCCTCCCCCTTGACTCCAGCTCCTCAGGCCGTGGAGCTCCCTGCCTTTTCCACGGTGAAAAGCTCTGTTCTCACGCCAGCACACAACTCCAGTGTTCTGCTGACATCCCCTGGCATTTCCCTCCTCACTCCCGAGCCCCGCTGCGCCCAGCTGGCCCCAGGAGCTGCTGGGGGGCTCAGGGTGGCTGCTGTCCCTGCAGACGTGGCGGTGATCGGGCCCCCGGACGCCGTGTGGGGGCAGCGGGTCAGCGCCGTGGTCAAGCTGCGCCGGGGGGAGATGCTCTCCGTCAGGGACCTCAAGGACTGGGCCAGGTAAAACCCCACAGCAGGCTCACAGCCAGCAGTGGCCTCAGCTGACACGGCTAGGATCACAGAGCCATGGAAGGGTTTAGGTGGGAAGGGATCTTAAAGCTCATCCAGTGCCACCCCTGCCATGGCAGGGACACCTTCCACTGTGCCAGGGTGCTCCATCCCTGTCCAGCCTGGCCTTGGCACTGCCAGGGATCCAGGGGCAGCCACAGCTGCTCTGGGCACCCTGTGCCAGGACCTCTGCACACTCCCAGGAAAGAATTCCTTCCCAGTATCCCATCCATCCCTGCCCTTGGGCAGTTTAAAGCCATTCCCCCTCATCCAAGCAGCCTATAAAAAAGTTCTCATCAAAAGTCTCTTTTCCCATCTGACCAATCCCACCTCTCCCAGCTCCTCCTCACAGGAGAGATGCTCACTATGCCTCAGGTGGCTGCTCATCCCTGAATCTCCCGCTGGGGACATTGGTGACCCAGCCCCAGGAGTTCCCTTCATCCCCCAGGCTGCTCTGGGGGTCCCTGGTGCCAGGCAGGGGGCTCTGCCCAGCCCCCCCGTGCCCCCCTCCCAGAGTGCTCCCTGCAGTCTCTCCCGTCGCTGTCCCCAGCTGTGTGACAGGGACGTGGCTCTTGTCCCCTTGAGCCCCGCGGGGTCCGGCTGCGCTCCCTGCCCGGCGCCGCCCCCGCCCTGTCTCTCCCCGTTATTTTTTCTGTCACTTAGGCTCACGGGGCCTGTTCTCGCACTCCCTGGCAGGAGACACATGTCCCTCTTCAGAGTGATTCATTCTGCGGCTCTCTCCTTCCCGGTGCTTCCCGGCGACAGGCGCATCCCGAGCCAGCTCCATATGGCCGGGCGCTGGTGGCGGCGGGGGGAGCGGCCGGGGGCTCGGGGGCTGGCAGACCTGGCATCCCGCAGTGGAGCCGGTGCCAGGCGCTGCCGGAGCCGGGCACGGCCCCGGCCCGGTGACACACGGGCAGCAGAAGGCAGCAGAGCCCCACAGAGCCGGGGATGGAGCCCGGGGCTGCAGCCACACACACACCCCGGAGGTCACTCACCTCGCCTGCGGCCCCGCGGGGGCTGGCACCAGGGGCACGGGGGCCCTGCACCGCTGAGTGCTGTCCCTGCCCTGGGGACAGTCACCAATCCAGCCGAGGAGTCCCCAGGAGTGAGCTGCTGCCTGCAGAGACAACCTGGGAGCAAACATCCCACCACACCTCCGGGGGATTGAGCTTAAATGGGCTCCTGGGGGGTGGGAGGGGTCCCAGGTGGGGCTGCTTGGGCCGTGGGTGGGCCCGGGCAGGCTCAGCTGGTCCTGCCCAGCTGTGACAGCTCGGTGTGGTGTTGCAGGGACACCATGGCTCCCTATGCCATCCCGACAGAGCTGATCGTGGTGGAGGAGATCCCGCGCAACCAGATGGGCAAAGTCAACAAGAAGGAGCTCCTGAAGCGCTTCTACCCAGCCTAGTGCCCCCCGGGGGGCTTGGCCCTGATCCACGGCCCTTCTGCCCCTGAGGAGGAGCCAAGGGATCATCCCTGGCAGCTCGGGGCTCACTGCAGCCTCGTCCTTGGGTAATGCCCAGTAAAAGCAGGATTTGTGCTGCCTGGCTGAGCTGAGCCAGAGCTGCAGAGTCAGGCTCTCCTTGTGGGGAGCCCTTCCCCGGAATCACAGAATCACAGAATGGTTTGGGTTGGAAGGGACCTTAAAGTCCATCCAGTGCCACCCCCTGCCTTAGGCAGGGACAGCTCCCACTACCCCAGGGTGCTCCAAGCCCTGTCCAGCCTGGCCTTGGATGCTTCCAGGGATGGGGCAGCCACAGCTGCTCTGGGCACCTGTGCTAGGACCTCTCCAGCCTCACAGGAATGATTTCCCAGCAGAAATAAAGAATAAATCCAAAATCACACATAAATACTGACTGTATTATCTGCCCCCACCAAGTGATCCCAGGGCACTTGGGATCAATCCCACCTTTCTCATGGAAGTTTGTCCTGCTTGACTCCACCCGTGAGCTGCCAGCCCCAGGGGTGGGTGATGCCAGTGGGGACAGCAGCCCCCAGCCCGTGGGTCCATCTGCTCTGGTCCTGTCCAGTGCTGAGGCAGCTCCAGCATTCCAGCAGCTGCTGGGAGCACCAGGGAGGGCAGGAGGAACAAGGAGCACCAGTAATTACAGGGATTCCTTTGTTAGGGCCACCAGAGCCCCAAAAATCTGGGAGGACATGGAAAGGACATGGAGGGGACCATGGCAGGCACATGGTGCTGGGGAGAGTGGGCAGGGAGGGGCTGGAAAAAGGGGAGGGGGTGTGGATGGGGAGAGGCTTTCTCCAGCCCACCTGCACAGGGCTCTGGCCACAGCCCCTCTGTCCATCCCAACACCCTGCCCACACTGGCATCTCCTGCACTGCTGTACTTCAGGCTCAAAAGGACCTGAGGTGGGGACACGAGGGGCACGCAGAGCCAGCCCTCACTGTGCCACAGGCAGGCCCAGGGACACACACAGTGTGCAGCCCAGCACCAGGGAGGGCCGGACCATCCTTTGTTAAAACATCAACGATGCAGTAAATTTCTTAACTTACCAAATAGATCAATATCAAATTATCATGTCTCGCATTCATAACTCTTAAGCAAGCAACAATGGAGAGAGACAAGGTCACTGGAGAATAAATAGCAGCGAAAGCTCTTAATGATCTATCATTCTCGACAAGCCCGGGCACCCCGCACCAGCCCGGTGACAAGATCATTAATAAAGCTCCGCAGGAGCGCTATCGATTGCCTTGATGGATGATCACAGGTAGCAAATACTGTAAAACACCTGGCTGTCACACACAGTGAGTAGCTGGACTCACACCTCGGCGCAGGGACCGGCCCGGGGCTCTGCTGGGTTTGCTCCTCGGGGATTCCCGCAGGGAGGGGGGCAGGGGTGACCCCAGTTTGGGGCTGCCATCTGTGCTGGACCCTCCTGCTCCCAGCTGCACTCCCACACTGCTGTTCGTCCCTGTGGGTGGGGCCTGTTAATTAAAAGCGTCATTAAGGCACGTGGGCATAGTGTGGGATTGAGCTGGATGGAGATGGGGTGACCCAGTGCCACTGGGTGAACCTGGAGCCCTCCAGGAACACCAGCCCTGGGTGACCCAGTGCCACTGGGTGAACCTGGAGCCCTCCAGGAACACCAGCACGGCCAGGACGCTGGTGATGGATGAGGGTCCCGAGGCCGGGGGCTCTGCTCCCCCCTCGCTGCGTCCCTCAGGGTGCAGGGGGGCTCTGTGTGTCCCCCCAGCTCCAGGCACTTCCCGTGCAGCCACATCGGCATTGACGGTGGGATCATATGTACACAACCATTCAATTACCCCGTAATGGCTGCAGGCGATTAAGCCATCAATCTCCTTCATTAGAGCCTGCCAGGCCCGGCCCAGCATCGCCCAGTGAAACCATTAAACAACAACAGCCACCACCCAAAGCAGCAGCTTTAATGCATTGACCACAACCTCAGCCTGTGACAGTGCTGGGGTGTCCCCCAGCTGGGGACCCACTCACCCCGAGGGGGCATTGCCCTGCTAGGGCACCCCCGGGGAGCTGGGGGCTGCCCACCCCTCTGTGCCCCCCCAGCTGGGCACGCCAGGACCTGCTCTAGCACTTTATAGCTGACATTATCTTTTATTGCCGCATAAAATCCAAGCTCCGGTGGCTTTATGGGGCTGCGCCGGCCTGTGGCACCCCTGCACTCCCAGCTGCTCCCTCTGCCCCGCTGGGCACTGCCCTGACCCCCCCCAGGCGCTGCACGGGGGTCCCAGCTGGTCCCAGGGCACCACACGTCAGGGACATGGCCGGTGCCACACGGGGGTCGTGGCAGGGCCAGCTGCACCCACACTGGAGACGGGATTGTCCCAGCACACACAGTGGGGTCCCACTGCTCCCAGCAGCGGTGACACCCGCACTGCTGGCCGGGTCACGGGGGGTCAGTGGGGGGAACCCTCCAAAATGGGGTGACCCAGCGCCCAGAGCACTCCTGGGCTGGTCCTGCACTTGCGGGACCCCAAATCCGGGAGCCCCGCTCTGCAGGGGCGGGGGTGGCAGTGCAGGGACAGCAGGGCCGGGGGTCCCTGCGTGCTGCAGCCGCGGCCGTGCCACCGGGGCTGGCGCCCTGTCAGAGCCTGTCACGTCTGCCAGCCCGCGCCGCCGTGCCGGTGGCAGCGAACATCTGCTCGGCACGGCACGGCACGGCACGGCACGGCACTGCACGGCACGGCACGGCACGGCACGGCACGGCCAGCCGCCGGGACCCCCGGCCAGCCCCGCCGGGCCGCTCCTCGCCGTGACACCGATGCGGAGTGACAGGGCGGCGGGGAGGACACATGGGAGCGGACAGACAGACAGACAGACAGACGGGCAAGAGAGCGCCCGCTGTCCCCGCCCGGCCCGGCCGCGCCGCGGGTCAGCCGTGCCCGCCCTCACCCGCTCACGACACGGCCTTGGGGACAGCGACAGCCCCGCCACCTCCGCCCGGCTCCTGGGCACGGCCGGGAGCATCCTGCACCCCTCCTCCTGTGTCCCTTTCCCCACGCCTTGTCCCCGTGCCGGTGACCGCACCGAGGGCACCCAGGGCATTTATTCCCAGGGCAGGGACAAAGCCGGGCGGGGGTCCCGCCGAGCAGGGACGAGGTGGTGCCACCGGTGTCACCGGCACATTTCCACTGCCTCGCCAAGCCCGGGACTCGGTTTCCCGGGAGGGCAAGAACTCCTCGACCCCTTCGCCCTGCGCGGGGGTCGTGGGTCTCCATCCCGGGGACCCCCGGGACCGCGAGCGGGCGGGCGGGGGCCGCTCCCGGGCTGCGAGGCGGCCGGGCCGGGCCCGGTGGCCGGGACGATGCTGCCACCTGGTGCCACGGCACGGCGGCGGCGCCGGGACCGGCACCGGGGGAAACACCGGGACCGGGGGGTCGGGGGGCAGCGCCGGGACAGGCAGCGGGGCCCGAGAGCCTTGTCGGGACCCCCGGAGCGGCTCCCGGTGGGAACCCGCCGGCCCGGGAGACGCGAGCGCTGCCCGTCCCTCTCCCGACTCCGCACTGGGACGGGCCCCGACGCCAACACAGATGGCACCGGCACCGGGAACGGCCGGGGACAGACGGGCGGGCTCGCCCCCACGGGAGGCGCGGCCGAGCGGGGCGAGAAGAACCGGTCCCGGTCCCTCTCCCTGCCCTGATCCCGGTCCCGGTCCAGGCCCCTGTCCCAGTGTCGCTGTCGGAGCCTGTCCCTGTGGCGGTCCCGGTGCCGGTGCCGGTGCTTGTCCCGGTGCCGGAGCAGGCGGGGGGCTGCGGGCCCGGCTCCCCCCGTCCCGCCCGCCCCGTCGCGGCATCCCCGGAGCGCGCCCGGCGGCAGCTGCCGCGTTCCGCCCGCCCTGCCCGGCCCCCGGCT